TATATATAGTATCTACAGACATACGTAGTTACATACATGCATACCTCATATGCATGCAGAAACTAACTGAATTTGGCAACGTTGAAGTATTTCAACTATTTGGAAATGCTCTAGGTTGACTCTGTGACAGGATTCAAATATTACTGGAATTTATCAAAAATATTTAATATAGTAAATATTTTCTACTTGAAATTTATCTTTAATGTTGCTTTTATTTTGTATCTATAACGTTGTATAGCTTCATTACTTTCAATGCGTAATAAAAGATACAAATAAAATAATTCAAGCATTACTTGAAATAATTTATTAACAAAAGTTGTATATAATTTACCACTATGAATAGAAGCAGGGTAAATTGTAATAAATTTTAAATAAATAAAACAATTGATTATTACAAAATATCTACTATTTATAGGATATTTTTGAGGTTAACTTGTTTCGCCTGCAGGTTCTTTGGTTTAGGTGTCTAAAACATAAACCAACGCTTCAATTTTAGTAGGTTTTAAGTTCAAGTTCTTATAAGACATCACTATGACCTATAAAATTATAGGCAGAATAAAATTTTAAGCACGCAATGTCGTTGATAAGCAGTAATAAAAGACAATCTCTAGACGGCAGTAATTACTTACTTCCGGTCTAATGGAGAGCTTACGGAAAATTTTTCAGAAGGAAAAACAATTAATTTCTAGTTTCTCTTTATATGCAATCATCTTGGAAAGCAGAGAGCAACCACCCTAATTATAATCTTGAAAAACTAACAGAAGCTAACATTAATTATCTACAAAACTTCTTAAACCGTATGAATTGGATTTAACCATGCTTACATGAACAACCTATTAACTGTTGGATATGAAGTGAAATTTAGTCCTGAAAGAATAGTATTGCTTTTTTGCCATTTGTAACATAGGGTCTTCGATGTATTCCTCATGGTGCAACAAACATTTTTATAAACTTATTATGCCTTTTTCACAATTTTGGCAAGAATGTAAAAAAAAGAAAAGAAATACAGTCGATTTTGATTCTTATAAAATCAAAAATAATTTTAAGAGAATGTACCACACTAAATTTAATGACATTAAACTAAAAATAATTACTGGCAATCATTATGAAGATTATTTGAAAAATATATGTGAACCATTAGCAGTTTATTTATTAATATAAAATGAACATTTTTTCTTAATTATTTGGAGGGAAGAATATGCTAAAAAAGTATCCGGATTTTTTGGTTGTTAACTACTCCTTAAGTAATAGATCTTTTTTTAAATTTTTTTTTTGTTATGTTGGTACACCTATTCTTGACATATGGTACAAATTTGAGCGCCATCTGTCAATTAGTTTGTTTACAGCAGCTGTTAATGTGAGACTACCTCAAGTGCATTTAGCGATTTTTACTATGGAAAATACTTGTTGTACGCGATTTTTTGACCAAACACGGCACCACTGTCATCGCACAGGCACCATATTCACCAGATCTGGATCCGTGCGACTTTTTCCTGTTCCCCAAAACTTAAATTGACCCTTAGTGGTAAGCGTTTTGAGTCGATGGAATCGGTAAAAGAAAATTCGCTGAAGGAACTAAAAGCCATACCTTCACGGGCCTACGAAAAATGTATGGAAGATTGGGTTAAGCGTTGGTTTATGTGTATCGCTTCAGAAGGGGCATATTTTGAAGCAGATAAAATAAAATTGGAATAAAATTTAAATTTGTGCTGGAGGTATTGGAGGTTTTTGAGCTGAAGGATGTCTGTTAATATGATATTCAAAGTGAATTTTAAAGAAATACATTCAAAAGCATGATTAATTAACGATATTTTTAAACATGACTGTATGAGTAGTTAAATATGTAAAAAAATCTTGAAAGTAATTACCGATACTTTCTACAGAAATATTTTAAATATTATACTAGAAGGTGTTTGTACTTTTTATAACATAAAAGTAGAAAGTGACATATACAAGAGAGTATTTTGGGGTTCAAACTCGCTTGAAAAACAATTTATTTTAATTTTTTAAATTAAATTTTTTTATATACTTTAAATTTGTTCTTAAAAACCCCTTGATTAAATAAGTGCTTGTATGCTCATATGCAAGCTCCTGTATTTGCTGAAGTTTTTATGGAATTTTAATAATATTCGTGGTAATTTTAAGGTTTTCTTAAATATGGAATAATAATAATTCCTTTTCACACTTAAAATTTAAACAGTTTTATTCGTGCAGTAACTAATTTTCTTTATAACATGCAAAGCTTCGAATAGTTTTCCCATAAGGAAAACTTTAGTTGAAAACTTTTATTTGATTTTAAAACAGAGTTTCACATATCCCAAAAATTATGTAAATAATTGATAATGTCTTTCCATTCCGCCTAATTTGCAATGTCTTAGAACAGAGCAAATTGCGCTTGTGTCAACCACCCAATTAAGTGGGCTTATGCGGCATTCAACACGTACCACGCTGATCTTTGTCACAAGCCTGCCAAACTCCTGCAACATGAACCGTACAACTTTCTCAAAAGTCAATGACGAAAAATTTATGCCCGCCATTTAACATTGTTTTCAGAAGACTTACCAACCAAAGAATTTAACTTAAATCTGTGGAAAATTTAGTGAGGGAAGTAGTCGTCAGGGCAAGCGGGGAAGAACTATTATTTTCAGCCAACTTTGCTCGACAAAATTTTGTGTAAGTGGATTAAGTGAAATTTTGTGTTGTTGCCAATACAGAACCGAAAGGGTAATAAAAGAGTATAGCGCTTTGCCCAGAATTAATTAACCATGATATGTTGACTATATCGGGACAGAAGCCAAAACGTGGTCTATTGTTTGGTTTGCTCAACACAACTATAGTTGCAGCGCTCCTGCGGGTAATGGCAGTGTATATGGCCGCCTGTTACTTTTACGTGAAAGTTTTAATTACAATAAAGTTATTGGATTAATGCAAGTGTACATTTCGGAAGCAAACGAGCATGATGATTAAGTTCATATTTTATGCTTATGTTCATATAAATTAAAACTTCAATTTTTTAAATTATTTTAGTTCTACTAAAGCACAAATCAAATTATGAAATCCCAAGAATTACAACTACATTTACAATTAAGTTAACTTAAGTTATAGAGAAATTAATTGAATTTTATAGAACTTGTTAGGGTTTTTTTTTGTTGAATCAAATAATTTTTAAAATTCTCTTTATTCAAAAATAAAGAGAAAAAAAAAACTGGATTTTATATCATCTCAGTTTCCTTTATTTTTATTACCAAAATTAAATCTTTGGACAATTTTAATCGTAGAAAAATTGCAACTTCAAATGGAAGGATAAAACAGAAACTCCTTGTACACACTCCACTCTTTAAGTTGGTTCCTTCTACTTCGTAGCGTTAGCAACGAAATAATTAACCACAATATGCGGCAGCGTTGGATACGGATTGTCCTGTCTTCTTTGCAGATGAGCTGCGCTAGACAAAATGAATTACACATTTGCCATTAATCTTTGTTGGCCTGGAGTAAGTTTCAGTTGCTGGGTGTCTGTTTAATTTTAGTTGTTGCTCATTTCTCCACAACTTCATTTAAAATAAGAACCATAATCAAATTGTTTCATTTTGAAGTTGTTCATTTTTTATGTCTACATTCTACTTCTTTCGTACCCAACACAAAGGATTTTAGCTATAATGGAATTAAGTTTTATAATGGAATATAAGTTAATAAAATTCCTAAATTAAAATTATATTCTTTAATCAGGAATTAAAATTGTTGCTATTTGTTAAAATGCCGAGGGATAAAAGCAGTCATATTAACGTATGATGTCAAACGTGAAAACAATACAGATAAGTAGTTTCATCAAATAATGGCAACATTATTCAAGTTTCTAAAAACCACACATTTAAAATAACAGTTTATATTAGACATAGACTTTTAGACATATATGTAATATGCACTCGATAATCTAGACCAGGGCTGCCTAAGCCCTTGGACCACATGCGGTCCGCGGCTAATGTTTGTGCGGCCTGAGACATGATTTTAATCAACCATAATTACGTAAATTTTCTTTTGGTGTACTTGTAAAACTAGATTATTTTATTTTTATAGTATACTAAATAAATGAATTAAAATTGATAAATTGATAAAACTAAATTTAAAATAATTTCTGGGGCACCCCCAATCTGTATAGTGATTTGTATTTCCCCTTGGTCGCATCTGGTCTGGACAGCCCTGATCTAGACAATTATATGTTATACCAAGAATTATTTAAAGTTATTTGTATCCTCAAATTTATAGTTTGTAATGTTATAAATTAAGATTTATATGTCATATATTCATTGAAAAATATATTTGTCAATATATTGTCAATGTATATATTGCAAAAGAGTATATATAAAAAATAGATTTTTTCAACCAAATTTAATCTATCTATTTATAATTAGTACAAAACCATGATTAAAGGAAAAAATTTGATAAAAGTTTAAGTATTCGTTTAAAGTAAATCGAAAAATCCAAACAAATGAGACAATAATTTATTAAGAATAAAAATTGGTGTTAATACAGGAGCTGCAAGAAAGAAGAGAAAAAGGAATATAAACACTCTACTCTAAAATCATACAAATTGGATTTTTAGCTGACCATACAGCTTTTTCGAGTATTGCCAAATATCTATAATCTGTGGTCCTTCTGAAAGTATTTTTTATATATAATTTTTTGTAAATAACTTTTAAGACCAAGTACCAAGGGTTGAACTTGTACCCAGTAAAATTTGATACTGAGAGTCATTGTTAATTACCCAACTAAGTAGGGAATAGTAGGGAATACTAATATACTATATATATTTTAAGATATTAGTATTTTTATTTGATTTTTGCATCCTTTAATAGCAAATTAAATCCCTCTGTGTAATAAATATATTTGATAAAATTCTGATTAACAACTACTAAACGGTTAAATATAACCGTGCTTTTTATATATAAACAATTTAAAAAAAAAACGTTATGTATGTTATATTGTTATATAAATTCACTTACCAATGGCCATTGCGGTTTCTTGAGCATCACCAGTCACCATTTTGACACGTACTCCGCTCTGCATCAACATTTCAATAGATTCTCGCACCAAAGGTCTTGGTGGATCAGTTATACCAACCAAGCCACAATATATTAAGTCCTGTAGTGATTTTCCTTTGGCAAGTGCTAAAACCCGTAAACCTTTACGGCCTATTTCGTAAGCCTCAGATAAGAACTCAGCCTCATTTTGCTTGGTTAAAGGCACAGTTTGCGTGCCAAATAAATATTTTGTGCATTGTGGCAACAACATTTCCAAAGCACCCTTAGCAAAAAATATTTCCTCCTTGTTATTATTGTATTTATGTATGCATTTAACAGCCATCATCTTTTGCTCGGATGAAAACGGATACTCCTGTATGCGTACATAGTTTTCAGCAGTTGCATACATGCCATTCTTCATGGCTACAGCTATGAGTGCACCTTCCGTTGGCTGGCCAAGTAATGTGCCATTCTGTATGTATGCATTGTTGCACACTGCTCCTATTTCCAATAAATTTGTTATGTTACTTTTTGCCATTTCCACATTGTTGCAGTTTCTAATATGAATTTCGCCTTGATCATTATACCCAGCACCAGTTACGTCTGCCATATAACCATCAGAAGTGATGATGACAGTAGCCGTCATCTCGTTCTTGGTAAGTGTACCTGTTTTGTCTGAGCAAATAACATTAACGCATCCAAGCGTTTCAACAGTTGGTAATTTTTTAACAATTGCATTACGTTTAGCCATACGCATCACACCCAGCGCCAGCGTGACTGTAACCACAATTGGCAATCCTTCCGGTATGGCAGCCACAGCTAGAGAAACGCTTATATTAAACATTTCTGTTAAAGGTTTTCCTTGTAACCAACCAAGCAGCATGATAACACCAATGATGATGAATGAGTAGAAGCTCAACTGTGCGCCGAGTATGTCCATTGATTTTTGTAAAGGTGTTTTTGGTGCTTCCTCAGCTTGCATCATTTTAAACACTTCACCAAATTCGCTACGTTCACCTGTGCTCACCACAACACCTTTACCATTTCCACACCGCACCAAAGTGCCCATGAAAGCTATATTTTTCATATTGGTATGATCTTTGTTACCGGTGTTGTTTAAAAGCATATCAGCGCACTTGCGGGCGGGTTCTGTTTCACCGGTAAAACTTGATTCATCTATTGATAGATCTATGGCCTCAAATAGTCGCACATCGGCCGGCACTCGATCACCAACATTTAAATACACAACATCGCCTGGAACTAATTCTCGTGCCAAGAATGTCTCTAAAACACCTTCTCTCAAGCAGTGACATTCGGGTGGCACTAATTTTTTTAACTCCTCTAGACTTTTCTCTGACCGATATTCCTGTATGAAAGCTACAGTTACCACAATTATTATGGCTATCGTTATGCTCACTGCATCATCAAACTGTTTCATTACTACCGAAACTAAGGCTGAACCCAATAGTAACAAAATTAGAGGATTTCTAAACTGTTCGATATATTTTTTCCATGTTGGCTCTTCCTCAATAACATTCAATTCATTGTGACCAATTATTTTGGCGCGATATTTTGATTCCGTCCATTTTAAGCCAGTTCGCACATCAACCTGCAAGCGGCCCGCCACCTCAGAGGCACTGTAGGTAGATGACTCAGAGGTTGTGAGCAACATCTCGGGCGTTAATGTTGAACCCGTCTGAAAGAAAATAAAATGCTTGTTTAATATTTAATAACAAATTGAAGTGTAATTTTAATTAAATTTGATATACTATATACTATATTAATCATTAAGAATGTATAAATTTTTTCTAGTGAACAGTGTATATTGTCAAACCTAAAACTAATATCTGTACAAGATGTGAATGAAATGATTTTTTATCTGCTAAGAATTTTTCAATACAGACATTTTATTATTTTTTAATTTTTTTATTATTTTTTTGAATATTAAAAAATTATTTTAATAAATATTTATTGCTCATTTATGCAAAAAATGGATGCATGTTTCAGTAAAAATTTGCATACGTGATGTTCATTTCTAATTCGCCTCAAGACCTGCATAAAGCTTACTTTGTTTATTGTGCCATCGAAAAAACGTAATTTCAATAGTTCCACACATCTCAGTCGAAATTTTTAGAACAAGTCACGTTTCAATGTCGATGCTCCAAAAACTTATCAGTCTTTCGCATACAAAATATGCTCGCATTTCGAGCAAACCGTAACATACGGAATAAGGGAATGGAAATGTATCTTAACAAATCATTCCATATTACAACAAAACGCCAACTGCAACTGACAAATGACAGTTGCTTTGCCAAGTGGACATGACAAGCAGCCATTATAATTGCAAATTAGCAGCTACCGAATGCTTCCTTCACAGTTCCGTTTCGTTAAAACTTTTTAAATGGAAACAGTTTAGAACGAAATTCCTTTCCTGCTCTGCTAAAAAGTTTTTGCTGATCCACTAATTTATGACATTGACTCAAATTATACAACATGTGAGCTTCGAAGATGAGTCGACTAAGAACCAAGAAGTGTATAATGTTGGCGTTGGACACGAAGTGGGTGGTTAGGAAGTGGGCTGATATACCCTTTATTTTGTTAGTTAGTTTTAATTAAGTTTTGCATTTTTTTCTTGCATTTTAGTATCCTTTCGGTTATGTGACTTTGCGAAACTTAATTGATTGTTTTCATTAAACTTTGAATGATAAAGCCAAGTTAGCCACAGGACTTAAGAGAATTAACTTTGGAAAAGACTTAACTTTTTTGCTTGAGTAAAAATAATTTATAGCAAAAACTGTTGTATTCTTCGTGTCATTTCAATATCAAAATCAACATTAGAAACAAAGGGTTCTTAACTGAATGTCAAACTATGCCAAACCCAAATGCCGTTTGCAATTAATCATCTTCAAGAGTCAGAGATAAGCAACAACAATGTTTAAATCTGAATGTTATAAGATATTAAATTTAAATAATGAAGGGGTATTTGGTTTTTCATAAGATTTAAATAAAAATATATAATAAATTTATATTTGTACTGTGACGAGAAATCTATTACAAATAGAAAAGAGAATAATTGTGAGAAAATCTTTGAAATCCAAAAACAAATACTAAAAACGACTACTGGTCCATACAGCTGTTTTGGATACTACCAAATATCCATCAATAATGGTTATTGGAAACGACTACTGGTTTAATTTTCCGTATATAAATTTTTAATTGCAAGTGTCAGGAATTGAATTGAATCTATCATCAGTTGTCTCTAGAAACGACTACTGGTAATTGTCCATATTTGATATTTGGATTGCATGTACCAGGGATTAAACCCTGTCTATTTTGAAACGTGGGTTAGCAAGTTTACTCACAAAGCTAACGTAAACTTTATTTCTGTTATTGGAATTTAGTTTCGCTTTTATTCATTTAAAAGCGAATATTGAACTCATTGTGTTTGTTATTGGTTAGAACATCTGTATAAATTGACTTAATCATTGTGGATATTTTTTCTTTTTTTTTGTACTTTTAAAATTACTGACATTAGTTAATTTTATTTCGACAAATAATAGTTTACCCTGTATTTTAGGATTCACCATTATAATTTTAATCATCTCGCAAAATTTGCTTAAACAGTAAATACTAAACTTATTTTATAAAAAGTTATGTAGATAAACATTAATTTCTTTATACTTTGAATCAAATTCTGTTCTCAAAAATTAATTAATCTCCTACAAAGAAAAATAAAATAAAATAGTTCACAAACATATTGTATGTACCTATAACCGGCTAGAGACTTAACAGATCTAACCATTATAAACCTACAGAGTAGAACCAAAATCGGTAATTACAAAAGAGATACTTTGTTACCGGACATTGTTTAATAGACAAACAGCCATTGAAACTTGAACTCTTGAAGTTGCAAGTGATGTTCTTCACAGCATCTGACTACAGACAGAGGAAGTATCATTATGCTCTCTTATGTTGCGTAGGTGCCTAGTCATAGCAAGGAGCAACCCTATAATTTTTTGGAAACAGTTTTTTAAGTACCTCAAAAAACTACTAGAAATTAATATTGAAAATTTCACAAAATAAAAAAAAAAATTAATTGGTTAAAGGGATCTTGGTAGATCTAAAATCAGGTCAAATTTAGTTAAATCACTGACAGAGGCGGAATAGGCATGTTATAATATAAGTGCTATGGTAATGCAATTGGTGTAATTGAGTATGAAATCTGATATGCAGATTTACTGTTAACTCTAGCTTATAAATTTATCTAACCTAATAATTATAGACTCAATTTATTGAGTTTTATTTTAACGCTATTAATTGTAATATTATCTTTGTATCAGATCAATTTACTTGCACTTTATTAAACATACTTAGTGCAGTTCCAATCTAGGGATTATCTTCTAGAAATAAAAGAAGGAAAAAATATTGGAAGGGAAATCACAGAATAATGGGGTTTGGATAGTAATAGATATAATAATATGTAATCATTTGGTCAAAAACTATCTAATAATTGAAGTAGTAAACAAACGCTCTCAGTTTAAGAGATATAAAATATTGTTAAGTGCTTCTGTACTCACCCTTTTTTTAAGCTAGAAAGTTAATTTTTAATTTTTTTAAATTTTATTACCTTTTATGAAGATAAGATTCATTTCAATAACTTGAAAACATATGTGATGTTTTTTAATAAGGTCTACCTTGAAGGCATTAAATATATATAAATGAATTAATAGTACATATATTGTATTAAAACAATTGGTTAATATTTTTTTTAATAACAGTTCTAATTAAGTTTTTCAATAATTTACTTTATATTATCTAAGTTAGAAGGTTAATACTATGTAGTTTTTAATGCTTGTTATAAATTAAAGTAGAAATAAATAAATACAGATTTGTAGACTGCCAGCAAACTAAAGCTATTAAAAGTTTGTCCTGAATATAGTTTTTACTTCATATATAATATAGTTTTGATTTGTATTTAGTGTTGAAATATCTGTCTTATTAAATAGAAAAAAAATTACAGACCTTATAAGGGTTACAAATTTTTTAAAATTTCTTAAAAGTGTTTGAATACAATAATGTAAGTATTCATATTAGTTGTTGCAAATTTCATAAAATGAATTCACATCATTAGTTTAGAGTCAAGTATAATTGACAGACGCATAATTTTGTGAATATAAAAAAAAACTAATTTTAATTATACTTAATTATTTCCTCTATAACAAATAATAGATGAATTTCATTTCCCATACATATCGAATAAATTTTAATAACGACATCAAGGTACTTATTTGTATTGTTTTGGAGTAAAAATTTCTCAAGAAATTTTATTATCAGTATTCAAAATAACTAAGTGCACAATCTAATAATAATTTTAAATAAAAATTTTGAAACGGAAATATAACTTATATATCTATTTGTAATTGTTTAATCATTTCATTATTAGATAGATTTAATTTTCGTTGTTTGAAACTTAACTGCAAATGAGAAACATGTAATTTAAAAAAAAAAAAAACAAAATCTATTAATAACAAAAATTAAAAATATAAATGAAACTGAATTCCAAAACGTACAGATACGGATAATAAATCTCTAATGAGCTTTTACACGTGCATAACGATCATGTATTCGTATCTCACATGATAGTTATTAATAGTTATATTCCTGTTATGAACACAAAAATAGCTACTCCGTGCCAGACGAATTGCGAGTGGGGAATGTTACAGAATGGTACGAGAAAGTCCAGTTGATGAAAGATAATTAATAAATCATTAAAAATCTTTTGAGAATTAGTTTTATTTGTTTATCACAAGATTTCAAATCGCTGCTATAAAAAAGAAAATAAAAATCGAATTCATTAACGAATAAAAGTAGTAAAAGCATGCAGACATGTTAAAAAACCCCATTCTTCAGGTTTTCTAGATATTACGAGTACTTCAATTGCTGTATAATTATTTCCGAGAAACTGCAAATTATTTAAAGTAGGAAATTTTGAAAAGGAGTTTATTATTTGTAATTTAATGCAAATAACAAATTCTTTGGAAATATATGAATTTATCTGCGTATATAAACAATTATTATTTAAATTTATAAGTAAATAAGTTGTTAATATATGCCACACGTTGAATATTTTGAATTAATTACACATTTATGAGATTAATATTTTTCATTAGTTAACATTATAATACTTATAACAATAATTTAATTTTTTATAATTTGTGTCAATTATTTCCATTGATAGAAATAACTGCTTTCTGCAGGACAAAACCTAATTAATAAGAAATAATTAACGCTTTACAAGCCAGTTGACTATATAGCACAGTCTCCTTATCATTTTTTTGCTATGCTCTATCTACAAGTCTTTCTAGTCTTCCAGTTCATTTAGAGTATATTAGCAAAATCACGGCTAAGATCCCAATAGAAATTGTTGTTTAAATTCTATAATATTCTATAATAATAATTTCTTCCACACAATTAAATAATGTCGTTAATATTACATTTTTGCAAAAATAGCAAATTAGCATAATCTGTACCGTCTCAACACCTTTTACATCAAACACATTTTTATAAAACTAAATTAGATAAAGAGCAGAAGAGGAAAAACAACAACACTACATTTGCAAATTCCAAAGCCTAGCAAATTTGAGGCATTCCACTATGAGACCCTACAAACTAGTGGATCTGGCGAATATAAAAAAA